AACCCTTTCCGATTTGCCATGGGAATGACCCAGGCTCTCCTGACAGCGTTCATGATCTCTTCCAGGTAAGCAGAAGAGCGGTTTTGGGATGAAGGCTCCAGACCACACTCTATCACATGAAACAGACTCCCACTTGTGTTCCTAGCTGCCTTACATTTGAAAAATGCCTCCATAATCTCTGGCCACATCCTAGACCCTGTCCCTTCACCCTCTTGAGTCCTTGCCACCTTGGCATGGCCTGCAGCCCAGGGAGGGTTCCCGTGGAGCTTGGAGCAGTAGTGGGCACTGCACCTTCTGATTCCTTGATCTGCCAAAAGTGCCAGTATGCTTTGGGTTCTTGATCTACTATTTAGAAGAGAGGTGTCTTTACGGGTAGGGATTGAGAAGTACCCTTCCTAGACCCAACGTTCTTTTCTGTTTTGATCACACAGTTCAGCAACACTGCCTGTCACTTTCCACTGTGCAGAAGAAAAGAACCATGTGGACAAGAGGATCACTCGATTCATGTTGCCCGTTGGTGCCACAATCAACATGGATGGGGCTGCACTCTATGAGGCAATGGCAGCAATGTTTATCGCACAGTTGAATGACATGGACTTGAGCATCGGGCAGCTCATCACTCTCAGGTGGGGGATGGCATCGCACTCATTTGTGTCCTGTCACTGGGTTGCCTCAACTAAACTCGATCTAAGAAGGGAGGCCAAGAAGGGCCCCACGATAGATCATTTTCCTTGGTCTCTGCAGGAAACTATAAGTGGTGGGTTTGTGGTATGCAAGATTTAGGCTTCAGGGTCTGGCTAATCAAGGGCAAAACTCTGTGCTCAGTAGGTGCTGTGCACAGAGTAGGCACCAGAGACTCAAGGATGAATAAGGGTCAGCCCATGATTTTAAGGGGTCCTGGCTGGGTGAGGATATAGACAGCTCAGTGAAAGCTGAGGGCTGTGATAAGGGCTAGAATGAGATTTTGCATGGTGGTTGCCAGGGAAAACAGGCTGGCTTGACCTGGAAAGGGGAGGGGAGGGGAAGCTCACTGAGGCGGGTGTTTAGCGGAATCTTCGAAGAGGAATAAAACTTCAGCAGGCAATGGAGAGTGTTTAGGGCACTTTGGATTAAGACCATGTACAGGGGCTTGTAATGTAGCCATGGCCTGGTTATAGAATGCAGATTATTTGGGATGGCTGGCATACCTAGTACAGTATAGAGGACACACAAGAATGAGGAAGCAGGGGTCATATCATGAAAGTTCTATATGGGGAGCTCATGGAAGGATCTTAGAAGATTTATCATATTAAGGACAGGGACACATTTTCTTTTTTTTTTTTTGAAGCTTTTTATTTAATGAATACAAATTTTCATGTGTACAGCTTTTAGGGATATAGTGTTTGCTCCCCTCATACCTGCCCACCCACCCCACCTCCCACTCCCTCTCCCGTTCCATTTTCCATTAAGATTCATTTTTAATTGACTTTATATACAGAAGACCAACTCTTTACTCAGGAGAGATTTCAACTGTTTGCACTCACACAGACACACAAAGTATAAAGTACAGTTTGAAGACAAAGTTTTACCATTAATTCTCATAGTACAACTCATTAGGGACAGGTCAAGCATGGGGAGCAAGTGCACAGTGACTCCTGTTGTTGATTTAACAATTGACACTCTTATTTATGATGTCAGTGGTCACATGAGGCTGGCAAGGTTAGGGAAGCCTTTTGAGTTCACAAACTCTGTCGGTTTTTAGACAGGGCCATAAGCAAGGTGGAAGTTCTCTCCTCCCTTCAGAGAAAAGTCAGGTACACATTTTCTAAAGGTAATTGTCAGTGTGATGAATGATTTGGATGGACACAGGGACCACAGACCAGAAGACCAGTTAGAAGACTATTAGCAGAAGTCCAGGTTAGGAATGAAATGGCCTCTGTCAAGCCACTGACACTGGGAATAAGGAAGAGCTAATGAATGGAAGAGTCATAACTTGGATGAGGGATGAGGGATGAGGAAGGCTAGGATAACTCCCAGGATTGGTAGGTGATCCTAGATTGCTGGATGGGCTTATAGAATAGGGACTAGCAATCAAGATAGGTGGAAGGATAGAGTTTATACTTGTGGTCCACTGAATTACAATGCCTTTAATAGATCCAGCTGGAGATATGCAGTGAGAAACACATGCCTGGATCAGCAGATACAGAAGTCAGGTCACGAGCTTAATGACCATCACACATGTGGGTCGGGGGTCAGTTGTCTTGAGTTTGAATCAGTGACACCATTATTAGCTGTGACCTTGCGCAAGTGGGGTGGATTCTCTAATCTTCTGTTTTCTCACCTGCAATGTGAGAGTAATAATAGTACCTATAATTTACTCAAGTAGTGGTGATTAAATAAGATTATGCATATAAAATGCTTGGAGCAGTGCCTACATAGTGAGCACTCAGTCATGCTGGCAATGTATGTCATTATACAGGGAAAGTGTGTAGAGGAGAGAAGGGAGGCAAAGGACTGAGCCTTGGAAGATCCTAACAGAGAAAAGGGGGCCTAAAAGGAAGAGGGAGAAGGAACAGAGAGGCAGGTGGGAGCCATGGGCTGTGGTATCCTAGAAACCCAGAGAATAGAGATTTTCAAGGATGCAGTGGTCCACAGAGCAGAGACTTCAGAGAATTTGAGTCCAATGAAGACTTAAAAAGATGCTCAAAGAAATGGTAGAAATGTCAATATTGAGTCTTGCCAGAGTTGTTTCTCTAGGAAAGCACTGTTGAAGGTGATAGCCACCAGCATGGGTGGCTGATGGCTAACTGAATCAGAGGGCGCAGATACTGAACACTTCTGCCATTGCAGAAAGGTCTGTTGGAGTGATAGGCTGGGATGAGAGTTAACTTAGTGACTCTCTAGTTCAGCATAGATGTAAGTTTAAGATTAAGCTGTGTCCCAAGGCCAACTCAAGGTTGGATTTGAACCTTTTAGAGTTAATTTGCTTCTGTTACCCCAGCCTAGATATCGAGTAAGAATGTTGTTTACCAACAGTGTTTTAATACAGTACAATTTTAAAGATCTCCCTAACTCTAAATCATAAAGTATGTATTCCTGTTTGTTTGGAATTGACTGAAGTCAAGTGCAAATACACCATGTGGCATATCAGCTGGGGGGCTACACCAGTGCTGCAGAATCTATAAAAATGTGTTACTGGCTAAAGAAGCCCTTGCCAAAAGAGCTTGTGTAGAGTCCTGTAGTTACAAGTGCAGAGAGTGTGTTAAAACTGAGCCCTGGAATCGTGCCTGGCAAAGTTCCTGCTCCATAAACACTCGTGCAGCTCCAGCAGTTGTTACTTTTACATGTCCATGAGTTTTCCCTCTTCTCCCACCCCAGCCTGGGGGACCCTGTCAGCGCTAGACTGGTTTCCAAGGAGTGGTTGTAAGAGGTGCCAGTTCTCTCTTGTGTTTGCCATTTGATGATGAACTACCTCCCTCTCCCATTTTGATAAGTTTTCTAGATCTTTCTACCCATGCTTGTGACCTGTTAAAGGAATCAACTTTGGTCCTAGAGGCTATATAGTCCTTTTTCATCCAAACCTCTCCCCCGATTCTCTTGTCTCTTCTTGAATCCGACTTGCGGGTAATTACAGGCCCCAAACCAATCACAACTGTGATGCCCAAAGCCATCATTGACTTAACATAAAAAATCCTCTCTGGCTCAACCTGGGAAATAATAAAAGTTAATTTTAACTTTATAGTCTATAGTTATAGCCCATATGGCTAATGGTGAAAGATATTTCTAGACCCCTAATATGTTTCTTTCTGTGGAATGTGCACCAAAGAAACATCCACTCAAAACAAACCCTTTTGTGGTTTTATGATATTTGCTTACAACTGATTGAACATGGGATAAATTGTGTTATGGTGAAAGATGATTACAGGATTTGGTGCCTAAAAAGAGCTGGGGGAGTGGGGAGTAGCAGTAGTTATTGTTTTACTAGTATAGGTTGAGAATCTCTTACTGAAATACTTGGGGCCTGAACTGTTTGGGGCTTTTTCAGATTTTGGAATAATTTAGTGTGCCAGTGTTTTGAGTATGAGCTGTAACATGAAGTCAAGTTATGGAATTCTCCAAACTTTTGGTGTCATGTTGACACTTAGAGTTTCCAATTTTAAGACAGAGAAAGGAGGGGGAGAGATGGCATTGTGGCATAATGGGTTAAGCTGTTGCCTGCAGAGTTGGCTTTGGCCTGGCCCAGCTCCAGCTGTTGTGGCCATTTGAGGGGTGAACCACTGGATGGAAGATCTCCCTCTCCATCTCTCCCTCCCTCCTTTCTTCCCTCCCTCCCTCCCTCCCTCTCTCTCTCTCTCTCTCTCTCTCTCTGTGTATGTGTGTGTGTATGTGTCTGTGTACCTCTACCTTTCAAAATCTTTTTTTTTATTTGACAGGTAGAGTTATAGACAGTGAGAGAGAGACACAGAGAAATGTCTTCCTTTTCCGTTGGCTCAATCCCTAAATGGCCACCACGGCCGGCGCGCTGCGTGGATCCAAAGCCAGGTGCCTCTTCCTGGTCTCCCATGTGGGTGCACGGTCCCAAGCACTTGGACCATCCTCGACTGCCCTCCCAGTCCACAGCAGAGAGCTGGACAGGAAGAGGAGCAGCCGGGACAAGAACCCGGCACCCATATGGGATGTTGGCACTGCAGGCGGAGGATTAACCAAGTGAGCCTTGGCGCTGGCCCCATAAATAAATCTTTTAAAAAAGAATCTTTTGAAAAAAAAAAGTGAGGAGGGAGGAAGAGAGGAAAATATCATTATATTATTAAAATTCTATCTGTGAACTACACTGAATCTATTCTTTGTATATTTTTTAAAGATGATTTACTAAGGCTGGCGCCATGGCTCAATAGGCTAATCCTCTGCCTGCAGCACCGGCACACCGAGTTCTAGTCCCAGTCAGGGCGCCGGATACTGTCCCAGTTGCCCCTCTTCCAGGCCAGCTCTCTGCTGTGGCCCAGGAGTGCAGTGGAGGATGGCCCAGGTTCTTGGGCCCTGCACCTGCATGGGAGACCAGGAGACCTGGCTCCTGGCTTTGGATCAGTGTGGTGCGCCAGCTGCATTGCGCTGGCCGTAGTGGCCATTGGAGGGTGAACCAACGGCAAAGGAAGACCTTTCTCTCTGTCTCTCTCTCAATGTCCACTCTGTCTGTCCCACACACACACAAAAAGATTATTTACTTATTTGAAAGGCGGAGTTAGAGAGGTAGATGCAGAGAGAGTGAGATCTTCCATCCTCTGGTTCACTCCCCAGATGGCTGCAATGGCCAGAGCTGTGCCAATTTGAAGCCAGGAGCCTGGAGCTTCTTCTGGGTCCCCAATATGGGTACAGGGGCCCAAGGACTTGGGCCATCTTCTACTGCTTTCCCAGGCCATAGCAAAGAGCTGAATCGGAAGTGGAGCAGCCGGGACTTGAACCGGTGCCTATATAGGATACCAGTACTGCAGGCAACACTTTTACCCACTATACCACAGCACCAGCCCCTGTTCTCTGTATTAATATCACATTAACAAGAGAATTGATGAGAAAATAACAAAACCTTTAATAAAAACAGTTTTAGATTTTGGAACATTTTTGATTTTCAGGTTTTGAATTTTTGCTTGTCATTCTGGCTATTGTAGTAATAGTAATAATACCAGGGTATATATACTAAGAGTACTGGCGACTTCTCCGGCCCCCACTCTGTTGCTCTGTTGGGACCGGGGAACCTTGCCTGGGAGTGGAACCCCAATAAAAGCCTGTGAATGAATTGATTCGTCTGCCTGGGAAGATTTGTTACGCGCCAGACACCTTACAGATGGTGCCGAAACCGGGGAGCTGAGGTTGTGAGCCTCCCCTTTCTGAGTTTGAGGCCCCCTTGCTCCTTGACCCTGTCTGGTGCCCCAGGCTGACTATAGACTAAGCTCGACCAACTGTAAGTAACTCCTCCCTTGCTCTCCCTCCCTCCTCTGGGTTGGCCCAGTCTCTGTGATCTCTGGCTAGCTCTCCGTCTGGACAGAGACCTCCAAATCATGCGCACGTGGCCTCTGTTCTCCGCTGTTTAGCCTCCCAGCAGTTGTGGAGACGTCCTGCTGCTGGCTTGGCCCCGTAGAGGACTGACCTCTAATCCATCTGCTGAAGTCCGGGACAGGGGACGCGTTACCGAATTTCAGTAGATCTGGGCTACCAGGGACACCATGGGATCTGGCCAATCCTGAGGGTGGGACTCAAAATGCCCCCTGGCCTGCCTCCTAAAGAACTTGAATAAACTGGGACTGGTCCACGACCTATGGAGTAAACGCCTAATCTTCTACTCCACTCAGGCATGGCCTAATTACCTTGAGAATTTCTGCCGCAGGGAGAGAAAATGGTCCCATATGTCCAGGCTTTCTGTGACCTCCGCTCCCGTCCTACTCCCTTCTCCCCTACTTTCCTCTCTGCCTGCTCAACAGCCCAGGTCTTGCTGGCCAAGATTGGGCCCCCACTGCTTAAGGACACCTCTTCTGTGTTACTGCCAAACTCTCCACCCTTCTGAGTTCCTGGGGACCACATAGCTAGCCAGGAACCTCCCGCCCCCATATGCGCATTCTTCTGCCCTGCCCCACCCCATGTCCTGCCTCTCCCCTCTGCCATTTCTGGAAGCCAGGTAGCCACGTGGCCCAACCACCAGTGTCAATCTCACCACCCCCATCCTAATGAGATTCGCTGCTCCTGCTTCCCTGGCTACCCTCTGGCAAAGTTTTAAAAGGACCTGTTCCTGACACGTGCTCTAGCCTCCTCCTCTGGTTTCCTTTCTTTGAATCTAAGTAGACCACTACCTTTGAAAATATTGCTTTGTAACTTGCTGAACTTATTTTTGCAATTTCTTTTAACAGGTTTCCGGGCAATCAGTACTCAATGAAACAGCAATGGGTAATTGGTACTTGTTTTAGATGAATGCAATTTTAATTTTAATTTTAATTGAATTCAAGTAGAGAAATATCAGCATCTTAAGCCATTTAGGTGTAACTGCTAATTTATTGTAAACTCTTGTATACTCAGCATGTTAAATTTGTGTTAAAAATGTTATAGAAATGTGCATTTGGTAAGGAAGGTTAAAAGGAAAGAGTTATTTTGAATAAAGAAAGGACAAAGTTTGTAAGATTGACTTCATCCTGATGGCTAGTTTACTCTAGACTGGAATGGAAATGATGGAATGTCTCAAGTAAGTTGAAGAGGGTGTGTGGAAGTCACAGAAGGTTATGAAAGAAAGAAATCTTGGATCTTAATGAGAAAGCCACAGAGACCTTAAGAGTTAAATGTTCTGTAAAATCCTGCAGGTGCTTTCAAAAATGCTATGTGAAGTAAGCAAGTGCCTCTTGTTGAGTTTATAATGAGTTTATAATTTTAAATGTGGCAACTTAAAGTCTCTTGTCATCCGCAGTTTTATATATCAGATTTGCTGCTCATAAAACTAAAACGTTGTTGGTTCTGTGCTTAGCTGTCCTCCTATAGGTTCTGATGGACTTTTTCCAGCCACATCTATTGTATTCAGTATTTTTGGGATGGCACTGTAAACAGATGAAGCCAATAATGTATTACAGGTACCAACTGAGAGAAAGTATGGTTAACAGGTTACTAAGAGCAGAAAGTAATTTGAATCAATTGGTAAATTAAAAAACAGTTAAAGTTTAATTGAAACTGCTGTATTTGTTATCTAATGATTGAAATTACTTTCTAAATTTTCATTTGATATTACTATTGTCAGTAAGTGATCTGGGATTTGAGCACCCCCTTGACTTGCATCCTCTGGTCTGCTTTAACAAAAATCAGGGGGAAAAGAAAGCTGGGCATCAGAAATGGAAAGATAGGTGGCAGCCTATTAATGGCTGTTCTGTACAGTGATATGCCCTCAAGGAGACCCAACAGGCCAGTCCACTGAACTGGCTTTCAGTGTGGTAAGCCTGGGCTCAGCAGAAGTTAACTTATGAAGAGCCCTGGCAGCTCTGCCAGCCAAGAGTTGCATCACTGGAAATGGACCTGCCCTGGAGTTGAAGGACTTCAGGTCAGAGCCACGGATCTTATTGGCTCTAAGCTGAAAAGCCCTTCACTCAGCCCAGCTTCCAAAGTGACTACTGCTGCTGAGGGGACGGGCAAATAGAAAATAAAAAAATTAGAGAAAAGAGTAGTAATACCAGGCTACTTCAGAAAGTTCATGGAAAAATAGAGTTAACACAAGTTTATTTTGCTGTAAAATTTTTTTCATAATTATGAATTTTTCATAATATCTTTTTCATAATTATGAATTTCCAATAACTTTCCTGAAGACCTCTTGTACACAGGGATCCAAATTTTTTGAATCAAAATATTTATCTTTTAATCCCATTTTCCATGAACTTCTGGAAGTCCCCCCCCCCAGCTCCCAGCCACCCCCATAGTAGCAGCAGCAGCCATGGTAGCAGTAGACGTGGTGGAAGCACCTGCCCCTGCAGCGAAGGTGGTCAGCAGAAATGACATGCTGTTAAGCTTCTACTCCACAGGCACCGGCCCAGATACTTTATATGGATTCCCTCCTGTCATCTTCTCTGCAGCCCTGCAACCTAGATCCATTCCGCCTGCATCCAGGCGAGGAGTTAAGATTCAGAGAAGTAACCTGTCTAAGGAGACTCCATTAGTAAAACCACAGAACCAGACGTGTAACCCAAGGGTGTCTCCCTCCAGCTCACAGCCTGTTCAGAGGGTTGTCCTAAAACTAGACCACAGGCCCAGGAAAGAACTTTGTACCAATGATTATTATGTTTTCTTCTGTGAAAACCTAAGTCAACCTCAAATACATTGAAGCAGCAGGAAGAAGTTTTGATACTGTTTTCCCTATCCGGATATGTATGTTGCAGACCAAAGCCACTCAAACTGCCAAGATATAACCAGCAAAGCCCAGGCCCAAGGACAGAGTCTTCCTGGGCTGATGAATTTTGAGCTTCAAGCTCAGCCTCAAGCTACAGGCACATGGTTCCCCATGACAGGTTAAGGCTTTTGAAAGGGATCACTGGGCATGGGCACAAATCACTTCAGATAAAGGAAAACCCCTGATGCATTCACCTACTTTTTTTTCAATCCGCATAGAAATACAGTTGGGTTTTCCAAAGATTGCTTAAGTCAGAACAGACCTAAAAGATGACACAAGCCCGAAACTTTGTGCAAACACCTTCACCTTTCAACCCACTGACATCCCAGCTGCGGTTCAATCTTGCCTGAGGGGGAGGACTTGTCTCCAGAAGTAGCATGGGTCTTCCCTCAGTGCACATCCAAAGCAAAGGACTTTACAGGGTGGGGAGCTCTTATTCCCTCCAGCATGGAGCAGCTACACATTTTGAAGAGAAAAGTCCTTAGCCACATCTTAGCTGCCCATGAGGTATCTATTTAAATACATGGCAATAAAGTTCATCTGGCTGCTCCACCTAGATTCCAGATCTCTCCTCCTGTTGCACAAAGTGAATCCACTGGCTAAAAGGAGCAGTCAGGAATAAATGTTTGCACCTTGGATGGGAATCCTGGAACTTTCTCAATTCAGTTCCCTAAAAGACAGTTCCCAGAAAGGTCAAGAATCTTGTGATGTTTAAAAAAAAATGGACATAAAACTGCTTAACCTTTTGGCTTCATTTCTTTGACTTTACCTGATAAACCCTTGACCATCCACTGCTACCACTACGCTACACCTCTGCCCTTCCTTCAAGACAACTTTAAATTCTTGACACATACTAGATGCTCAGTAAGTGGTTGGTTAGGGGAGTAGATGGCAGCAGTGAGGGGGAAAGCAGGTGAACAGGTACCTGGCCCTTCTTTAAAAGGGATATACGTATGGATGGGTAAAAAGCTTCTGTAAGCATTCCCAGCTGGTAAACTCTTGCCTTGCTCTTGGATACCTCTCTTGCTCATCTTTTGGCTGCTCCTCTCACAGTTCCTCTATATTTTCCTGCGTTTGATTTGCCACATCTCCCCGAACAAGAACATGGCCTCATATTCTTCACTGCCCTACAGCTTTCATCCGACAGCAAGGCAGAGCTGGTTCTCAGCCGATGGCAGATTCTGACTGCCCAATTCAGGAACAGGGAGGTAGCAGCCACTGGGACTTACTAAATGTTACGAGCCAGGGGCCTTAGAGGGAGAAGTAGGTGTCTAATCCCGTTCCTGCTTGTGTTTTGGCTACAGCGTCACAGCTACAGCTGCCAGCATTGGAGCTGCCGGTGTGCCCCAGGCTGGCATGGTGATCATGGTGATTGTGCTGAGTGCTGTGGGGCTGCCCGCTGAGGATGTCACCGTGATCATTGCTGTCGACTGGCTCCTGTGAGTTGGAATAAGTGCACTGCGCAGCCAGATGGGCGGGCCAGCTTCTCAGCCATGGAGAATCTGCAGTCTGTCATTACTCTGCCCCCAGATTGCCTAATGAGCCATCTGGGGCTGCTTCAGTTTCCCTCTGACCAGGCTATCTGATAACATGCTTAAAAATTCACTCCTCATAACCTTAAGCAAAGGTTTTAAAAAGCCAATGAAGTCCATTAGCTCACTGTACCTGATAATGTTCAAGGTTGGGAGCTGGGTGTGGGACAAGGTAACTGCAGAATAATAACAGGAAGAAGCAGCGGGGCAAGGCCCCAGACATCACAAAGCCCACAGCCATCCTGGCCCATCTGCACTGCGCTTCAGCCTCAGAGGCTCAGAACTAGCTAGTTCAGAAACATCTGTCTCCCCAGGCGTCTTCAGCACTGGCAGGGCAGTGGCGTGAGCACAGACGTCTGACTGGCTTTTGACCTTGAACAGATTCATTAGCCTCTTTGAAGGCCACTTGCATTATCTGTAAGATGGAGAACATCCGTTAAATAAATGGTGCACTTTCCTGTTATGAGTAGAAAGAATTGGGCCATTCAGGCAACAATCTCAATCTCTTTTCCTCCCTCTCTCTGTCTCTCTCTCACACACACACACAGAGAGAGAGAGAGAGGGAGAGAGAGAGAGAGAGAAAGGAACACAGCAGAACACCTGAGTCAGAACATGTCTTCTAATGTTTGCTTCTGGGCCTTGGTCTGCTGGCATCAAGGTCTGGCTCCATTCCCTAGCCACCTGGGCTAAGGGTAGATCTGTATTGAGCTTTTCATTCAAAACCAGCTCAGGCTTAATAGGGAATCCATGCTGCATAGTTGGAAGGTAGCAGCTGAGATAGAAGAAAGGGAAACTGACATTTCCATGTAGTTTGAAGAGAAGAGTCACATCCCAGAAGGCAAAAGCCCCTGCACCTGGCTTGGAGACCATGCCATGTGGAGCCCTTTAGCAGGTGGCCCAACTGAGATGACGAGTTACCCTACCAGTGTGGCAAGCTTTACTTTTCTGTCTAGTGATGACAGTGCATTTTCCTCTCCCTCCTTTCTCTGGTTCTTCCTGGAACCAGTAACCTTCGTCACCAAAAGTCAAGAGTCCGATCTGAGGCCATGGTGTGAAATGGCAGTGGAGCCATTCCAATCCCTGGCCTTGTTCTAAATACCAGGGCATCCAGAGTGGGTATGTGGATGCATTATTGGTCTTTTAATCATTCCTGCAGATGTTTTCACAAGAATACTCATGTCTACTGTTATCAAAATGGACAATGCCCTCCACGGAGTACCTTCTCTCCACATCTTCCTGATGCTAGCCTCTTCTCTAGACTGTCTGGGAACTAAAACTGGCTGAGGGTGCCTCAAGAAGAAATTAGTTCCT